CAATAATCTACAACTACAGCAATAACCAACAGCAGCAGCAATTCAGCAGCAGCAGCAGCGTAGCAGATCTATTCCGCCAAGACCAAATACATTAACATTGTCATATCCATCACCATGCTAAAATGTTCCGAGAGTTGCCATGATTGACATATAGTTTTTATTAATTTTTAGTTCATTTTTTACATCAAGATAAACAAAGTGAAAATGTGAAAAGTTGCTTTGGCAATGAGCTTAGTTTTTTTTATATTTAATATATATATATATATATATATATTTTTTTTTTTTTTTATATATATATATATTTTTTTTTTTATAGTTTTAGTTAACTATAATAATCCTGATTTGCAGTGCATCATGGGAGTTAACGGCGACTGCTCAGCTTTTTTGCTGGGTTCTCTCATCGTCTCTCATTTGTGAATTATGCGCATTGCAGTTCATTTCTAGGTATTTGGGAATTAAACATTCTATGCTATTGTTAAAAATCAGTTTCTCCAAGGAAAAAATGAATACGTTTTTCACTTCCAGAACATGACTGTTGCACTCTATGCAGACTTTTACACAGTAAGCCAATGGTATTGTAACTATATCATCTATCGGTTTGCAGATCTTGTACTTCTTGTTCCTCGATCGTTCGAACACACGACTGACCCCAGACCTGTGTGCAGCAGAATTTAATTTTGACCGTGAATTCCCTCTTGAGTGGTTTGTGTTCAGCTATAGCCAGATGCATATAAGATAATGGGCTCTTGGAATATAGGAAGTGATGTCAGTGGTGCAGCAGGCCAAGCCTAAACGACTTATTATTTTAAGTGTTCAGTTGGGGTTTGCAGAGGAAAAAGCAGTGGTGAAACTTTTACAGCCGTTTTGGGGTAATGTGAGTCGAGGCCCTTAAAAAGCGGACCGACTGTTTGATGAGACAGCGGCTGTGGTCGGGGCCACCTGCTCTGCGCACAGCGCTGTTGTTTGCGAGGCACGATGCCTGCAAAATAAATGTTTACTCGCAACATTAAGGGAAATCAGCACTCAAAACAAACCGGTCGCAGCCTGAGTGCCTGCAGGCCAAGGCTTGAGTCATCTGCGATCGGGCGCCGCGCGAGTGTGACCAGGCCGAGCGGATCGGGAATCGTGTGGAAAACATGAGCTCATACAGGATGGGATGACACTCGGAATCACTGGACACAGACGGGACACGCCAATCCACACTGAGTGATGGGGTACCTCAGCACATGTGAGGCCTCTTTTAGATTTACAAAATACTTTCTTTCTCACTGTTTTGGTCTTGATTTTCAGTCAAAGTATCTTAAATGCCCATACAATGAAGCAAAATTGCTTGTAATCTTCAGTTTCTTGTGTTTAATTAAGTGTATTTTTCTTCAAACATTGACAAATTGGGTTGTCTTGTAAATGTGGAGTATATAAGCCATTTTTTGATTTGCTTAAAACAAGAAAAATCAATATGGAAAAACATGTTCAATGTCACCAATTTTCAAAACATTAATTACAAAATATTAAATGAATGGTTTGAATTAACAGCTTTATAACTTAAATAACTTTATTTGATAATTTATTTTATTTTTGATTTATAATTTATACTTACAAAAATAATATATAGAAAAATATACTATAATATACCTTTTATTTTTTTATATTGATATTTATTTATAATTATTATTATATAGTTATAAGAATACATTTATTTACAAAAAATATATATAAAATACAATATTCTATAATAAATAAATATAGCAAATACAATATAATGTACTTATATGCTATGCTATTTTGTATCACGGAGATCATGTAGTTTTCAATTTTTGTATTTTCATTTTTCGTTTTAATTTCTATATTTGTTGTGTTTATATGTTTATAGGTATTATTCATTTTTATTGCCACTGTAGTAGCTAAGTTATTTTAGTACATAAAGATACTTAATGAAAATGAGAAATCATTTTTATGTTTTCTTTTATTTGAGTTAATGTTTAAATTATTTCAAGTACCATTTTTATGATTTATTTAATTTTTTGTGGTTTTAGTTAACTATAATAACCATTACATATATTTAATAATTATATGTTTATATAATTATATTAAGCTATACTAAGTATAAACAAATGGATGCATTACCATCTCAGGTAAATGTATCTTTCTATAATAATGGAAAACAAGATACAGATGAAGATGATTTTTTGCAGTGTAATGTTCTTGCAGTACAAACATGTGATCATCTTTTATTTATGATTGTGATGATGATGATGTTCCCACCATCGGCACAGATGTTTCCAGACTTTATTGAGTTTGTCAAATTTTTTGAGCACTTTAAATGTGTCCTCAGCATCATTATCGTCACCGGTTGTGCTGACTGTGGCTTTTGGTTATATAAGAGTTTGCAATGGCTTTCTGTGTTGTAAACGGTGTCGTTATCTGTTAAATGGATCATTTACACACCGCCACTAGCATCGCTGTTACTGTACATATTCCAGCTACTCACACAAACATGCCGGTCCATAACGTTAGTCTAGCACCAGTTAAGCACTTTCGCAAAAACTCCTGTTTTTGAAAATCTTTTCGGCTCTATGTTGTTTAAGATAAGAGAACTTGTGAGTGTGCAGAATTCAGTCAGTGTTTTTAGCGCCGACTAATCTAATCGCATCTGATTGCCCATTCATAAGCGCAACAGAAACGTGTGATTGGTTATAATGCTCAGCGTTGCAAAAAATAAAAAATAAAGCCATGAATTGACACTTTAAATTAATTTTCACCTTTCACTTTAATCGTGACAACAGGAATAGATTTAGTTAAATTGTGCAGCAGCATTTTTTGCCCCATTACCTTGAATTTGTGTGGCATTTTTGTGCCACAAGCCAGCATTAGTTTCTGAGCCTGTTTGCAGACTTATGATATTATGATTTGAACAGATTGTAGACATTTTAAACAAGTAGTACTTTAGTTTACCAATGTGTTTTCTGATTCCTTTCTTATTCAATGTGTTGTTGTGGTTGATTCGTTGCATATTTGTGACCCTGCAGCACAAAAGCAGTCTTAAGTCGCTGGGGTATATTTGTAGCAATAGCCAAAAATACATTGTATGGGTCGAAATTATCAAATTTTTTTTTAAGGTGACATATCATGAAAATCGGACTTTTCCAGGTTTTAAGTGCTATAATCAGGTCCCCGGTGCATCTACTAACCAAGGAAACGTGAAAAAGTTTAACCCAGTAACTTTGTTTTGGTAAGCCTTTTTCTGCAAGCGTCTGAGAAAACGATTGCGTCTGATTTCGCTCCCTTGGTGACGTGGCAAAGGGATCTCATTATAATATTACCGCCCCTTAATCTGTAAACTGCCGTCATTTTGATTTTGCAAGCGACAACGGTGTACCAGCTCTAATGCCATGGCGAAAGTTTGAGAAAAACACGCTAACTGTTCTGTGTTTGGCTGCGCAGACGAGCACAGAACACTGTTTAGAGTCCCAGCCTCAGAGGAGACAACAGAGCAGTGCATTTATTGATTTATTTAGACTACTGTATATTGCTGCTGCCGCACAGATCTAAAATAAACATGCAATTTATTTCCCAGCTGTTTACCTTCACAGACATAACCCACTGTTTTTGTAACTCGTGTGTTTTTAACGTAAACTTGTGTGTGAATGTGAACTTAGTTTAGTACTCACATGCTGTGACAGCCGCTTTCTGTGCGTGTGCTTCAGATGTGTGCGCTCAGAAAACCGTATATCAGAAGTTTAAATTAATATGGTTTAAAACGCATGATTTCAGCGTGATAAACATGATAATCAGAACCAAAACAGATGTTTTTAGCAGGTCCGAGCTGTAATGGAGCAGCACTATTCTTCAAAAGGGGGCGGGAAGCAGCAGCTCATTTACATTTAAAGACACAGGCGCAAAAAAACAGCTTGTTTCTGCTTCCACTCAAAATAGGCATTTTCAAAATGATATACTAAATGATCTGTGGAGTATTTTGAGCTGAAACTTCACAGACACATTCTGGGGACACCAGAGACTTATATTACATATTGTAAAAAGGGGCATAATATGTCTCCTTTAATGTAAAAAATCATTCGGATATTAAGTAAAGATCATGTTCCATGAAGATATTTTGTTCATTTCCTACCGTAAAAATATAAAAACTTCATTTTTGATTAGTAATATGCATTGCTAAGGACTTAATTTGGACAACTTAAAAGGCGATTTTCTCAATATTTAAAGTTTTTTGCACCCTCAGATTCCAGATTTTCAAATAGTTGTTTCTCGACCAAATATTTTCCTATCCTAACAAACCACACATCAATGTAAAGCTTATTTATTCAGCTTTCAGATGATGCATAAATCTCAATTTAAAAAAAATGGACCCTTATGACTGGTTTTGTGGTGCAGGGTCACATTTAAGCATGAATGGTGCCGATGAGCTGCTCTTCCTCACTCGTAGTCATCGATGACGTAATCACTGTGGGAATTTACTTTGTGGTTTTGTGGTCCCGGCGATTTTCTCAATATTTAAAGTTTTTTGCACCCTCTCAGATTCCATTTTCAAATAGTTGTTTCTCGACCAAATATTTTCCTATCCTAAAACAAACCACACGTCAATGTAAAGCTTATTTATTCAGCTTTCAGATGATGTATAAATCTCAATTTAAAAAAAATGGACCCTTATGACTGGTTTTGTGGTGCAGGGTCACATTTAAGCATGAATGGTGCCGATGAGCTGCTCTTCCTCACTCGTAGTCATCGATGACGTAATCACTGTGGGAATTTACTTTGTGGTTTTGTGGTCCCATGTTCCAGTGATCTGAAATGACCTTGTTTCTTGCCCGGACTTGTTTTGCAGCTCTTCCATTCTGTGAGCGTCTAACTCTCGATGTAAACTCACAATGACGTCACACAAGCTTTTCAACCCACCAGCACAGTGTTAAGATGTTTTAGCTTGTATATATTACCAGTTTTCCCCATGAATAAGTGATAATTTCATTTTTTTTTCCACACAGACCCAGATACTCAAAACCCAAGCAAGAAAGGATGTGGTGGACAGTCTGTCCTGCGAGCATAAGGACGTGTGCTTGGTTTCAAATGTCTCATCGGTGCAAAATGAGCACAGTTTTACCCATCAAAACGCCATCTTCAATAAAGAGATCACTCAGGTATGATCTCTGTACTCTGTCAGTGAAAATCAAGAGAGATTGCTTTACATATAGCTATTTAAAGCAATGAAATAGTTCACTGAACTGAATAAAAAATGAAACCATTCAGCAGCACCATTTTATATGTTATTCATTTGGATTTTATGTATTTGGCAGATGATTTTATTGCATTCAAGTCATGCAAGGCATTTGCTTAAAACAAGAAAAAAAGCAATATGCCAACAACATGCTCAGTGTCACAAATTTTACCACACAGACCCAGATACTCAAAACCCAAGCAAGAAAGGATGTGGTGGACAGTCTGTCCTGCGAGCATAAGGATGTGTGCTTGGTTTCAAAAGTCTCATCGGTGCAAAATGAGCACAGTTTTACCCATCAAAACGCCATCTTCAATAAAGAGATCACTCAGGTATGATCTCTGTACTCTGTCAGTGAAAATCAAGAGAGATTGCTTTACATATAGCTATTTAAAGCAATGAAATAGTTCACTGAACTGAATAAAAAATGAAACCATTCAGCAGCACCATTTTATATGTTATTCATTTGGATTTTATGTATTTGGCAGATGATTTTATTGCATTCAAGTCATGCAAGGCATTTGCTTAAAACAAGAAAAAAAGCAATATGCCAACAACATGCTCAGTGTCACAAATTTTACTTTTTGAATTTGAGACATAAATAAATAAATGTATTTAAATTGTAAATTTATTTAAACCATAAAAAAAAAAAAAATATATATATATATAGCATTATATGTATTAATTTGCTTATGCATTTTGCTGATTATTTTATTTAAAAAAATTGTGAAAAAGAAAATTGGAGGAAATAAATTTAATTTTAATTAAATTATTGTGTTTCTGGATAAAGAAATTTTTCTTTTTTGTAAGTCCATTAAGATATATATATATATATATATATATATATATATATATATATATATATTATATTGTAACAGTTTATTTTAACAATAACCAATATTGCAAAAATATTTTAAATCAGCTTGAACTGGTAATTAAGTAGTGCAAAATATACTAACGTGATATTAAATAGAATGTAAATAACATTTTTTATAATATAAAAAATTTACACTATAATAAAATATATTTAAAATACAATTTAAATAACATATCATTACTTTCTGTAACATTTTACAAAAATGAATATTGAAGGCAAAATGGTGTGAAAATGTATTTTTGCATAAAGAAATTAAGACTTTTTTTAAAGCCCATTAAGAGATTTTTTTTTACATTGTAACGATTTATTTTAACAATACAAAATACTGAAATAATTATTTTAAATAAACATAAATTAGTAATAAAGTAGTGCAAATTATACTAACAATTTAAATATAATTTTAATAATATAAATACATTATACATTTATTTATTTATAAATCAACATTGGAGGGAAAATAATGTGAAAATGCAAAGACAAAAAGCTTGCTTCATTTTCTTTATGCAACATTTCTATTTTTAATTCTTCTTGATTTTGGGCGAAATCAATCCTGGAAATGTTTGTTCAATCATCATAAACTGAATCGGTTGAGTGGTTGCATTGCATCACTAATGTGGAAAATTACACTTGCAGTTTACAGACAAAAATGCAGTGTAGATAAAGGTGGAAACTGGCCCTTCTGACCCCGTTCAAGCCCCTGTTTCTTTTCTTTTGCTCTTTTTGTCTGAAGTTGGAGAGCGGGCAGCACAGAGGAGTGGGAGGAAAGGGAACAGCCACAAGAGGAGCAATTATTTTGGGATGAGATCATTGTTTGGCCCTCTCTATTCACGCCTCTGGCCTTCTGAGACTAAACCGAGCCGCTCGAGCGCTCGCGTTATCTCATCGCCACACTCACTCTGACATACAAGGACATTTTTCGGGGATATTTGCTTCGGGACGCAGCTGCTGCTCTCAGAAGCCCGTGTGACCTGTGAGATTTCCTGAGCTGAAGTGAAGTGGGAGGCGCAGTGTTTTAGATGACAGACGAGCGGCAGGAACAGTAACACGTCGTTAATGTTAATAGGCTGTAGAAACGCTGCCATTCGTTTAGGAAATGGCCTTTGGATGAATATTCGTGTCGGGTAAAGCCTCCAACTCTTATGGGTGATTCGGTTGACTGATAGCACTGATGAATCTGTGTTAGTGTAGCATTATAGAGTCAAGGATGTGGAAATTGGCCTGCGTTTCAGAAAGGTGAATTAAAGTCAACACATCCTCCAGCGCTCTTTAGGATTGCCCCAGAAAACCCTTTTGGGATTCATATAAAAATGGGTTAATTCTATAATTTTGATAATTAAAAGAAATGTGATGTTTTGTGTGTTTTTTTTTTTTAAGAAAATGTGAGCGTTTGCCTGTTCAAAAGATTTTTTTTATTTTTTATTAATACATTTATTCAGCAAGGCTGCGTTAAATTGATCAAAAGTGACAGTAAAGACATTTATAATGTTGCAAAAGATTTCTATTTGAAATAAATGATGTTCTTTTGAACTTTCTATACATCAAAAAATCATGAAAAAAATAATAATCAGAAATGTTTCTTGAGCAGCAAATCCACATGATTTCTGAAGGATCATGTGACTCTGAAGACTGGAGTAATGATGCTTTAAATTCAGCTTTGCACCACAGGAATAAATTACATTTTAAAATATATTCAAATAGAAAACAGTTATTTTAAATGGTAATAATAGTTTACATTTTTACTGATTTTACTGCATTTTTGATCAAATAAATACAGACTTGGTGAGCAGAAGAGACTTCTTTCAAAAACATTGAAAAACAAATCTTACTGACCCCAAACTTTTGAATGCTGGTGTAAGTCTTTTGGGATTTTATTCACCTACATCAAAAAATCATGAAAAAAATAATAATCAGAAATGTTTCTTGAGCAGCAAATCCACATGATTTCTGAAGGATCATGTGACACTGAAGACTGGAGTAATGATGCTTTAAATTCAGCTTTGCACCACAGGAATAAATTACATTTTAAAATATATTCAAATAGAAAACAGTTATTTTAAATGGTAATAATAGTTTACATTTTTACTGATTTTACTGCATTTTTGATCAAATAAATACAGACTTGGTGAGCAGAAGAGACTTCTTTCAAAAACATTGAAAAACAAATCTTACTGACCCCAAACTTTTGAATGCTGGTGTAAGTCTTTTGGGATTTTATTCACCTGTGTTTCTGATTAGTAATCAAACTGTACATGTCTCATCAACAAGACACGTACTAACCTCAGGTATGAGGAAGAGTTTTCACTTTAAATGGAACATTTAAACTATTAAATAACCTGTTAGATATCAGTTTCACAGTACAGTTTCTGCTAGTTTACTCAAAGAAGGAAGCTGGAAAACTAGCTATTGTTTTAAAGGGAAGCGGAAGAAACAAAGTATGAAGTCATGGGTTTCTCGTCACGGTGGGGTAGAAATGAGACGATAGAGTTGTTTACACGGGCTGCAAATATTGAAATACCGTTGAGCCTGTGGGAAGCCATTAAAAACAATGGCTGATCTTTTATTAGAAGTGACATCATATTATTTTTTATCTGCACTGTGAGATCTTGCCAAACATCGTGGCGGGTTTGTTTTTCTTGTCCACTTGTGATGTGTATCTCCTGTGTGTTTTTGATGAGAGAAAGATCTGGATTTATACTGAAACTCTGAGACCATGATGAAAATGATATGATCAATAAGTCATGGTAGAATATGTGTTTTCATGACTTTAAATAATTAAAATAATTTTCCAATTTCAACTTAGTTTTTCTTTTACGTTTTACTCAGGTTATAAAAACTCAAACTAAACAAAGAAATTGGATACTTGAAATAAAATAAACAAACTTAGACTTTTTTTAATTTCATCAAATCTTTTCCAAAGCAAGATTGATCATTTTAAGTTAGTTTAACTTGATGTTTTAAAAAAAAATAAAAAATGAAATGTGTGTATATATATATATATATATAATATCTATATACTGTATGTATGTATGTATATGTATATATATATATATATATATTTAAAAACGAGAAAAACTATTAAAATGACGAACACAACAAAATAACCAACTTCGACTACAATTAAAACTAAAAAGATAAAAATAAAAACTGATGCGAAATATTTTACGTTAGTTTAACTTGATGTACAAATATAGCTAAAATGGAAGTAAAAATTTATTTAAAAAACTATATTGACATTTAAAAATTGAAAATATTATAAATGACAGAAAACACAAAATTACTAAAACTAACTACAATTACAATCAAATGGAAATTCAAATGCAAAATAATAAAAATAAAATATAAAAACTGATTAGAAATATAACTTGAGACACTAAAATAACTAAAATGGAAATAAAAATTAATAAAACGTATATGAAAAAAAACTATTAAAAATGACAAAAACGCAACAAAATCACTTAAACTGGAACTAAAATTAAAATTAAAAATGGTCTAAAATATTATATATAATATAAAAATAGGAACCGATTCATAATATAAATAAAAACTATAATGGTATCTCTGATACGAAAATAACACACCATTATACAAGATTCAACCAGATGAGATTTTAAAACATTAGTTGAAATGACTTGTACAGCCAATCTGATACTTAAAGATGTTTTTAAGTTGAAGGGGGTTGAAATATTTTACAGTGCACATGATTTTATATTTTCTTAAAAAGGTAGGGGGGGAAAAGTCAAGCAAAAATAATAACAGACGTCTCCTCAGCAATCAGTCATGTTTGTCTGGGACAAATTATGAGGCGAGGTTTAATATTTTAATATGCCCAATAGCAATAGTGATGGTTTCTGTAGCCAGCAGCACTAATAATTATCCTAAGCTGTGACTGTCTCCTTACATTTAGCCCGATATGTTGGTTTTATTGTCTTTGGAGATCACATGCGTTTAGTCTTGCAGAAATGACAACTTAGTTTAACAATCGTTTGGTTTGTGCTGATGTGGGTGGGCTTTTTGAAGACCGCCAGTGGTCATACATTGTGTTCATACCAAATAAACATGTCCAGGACCTATCTGGACTCGGCCAGCTGGTTTCTGTTCACGCAGTGCAAACATTGCCAGAAATGGTGCTTTCAAAAGCCTTACGCAACAATCTGTGAGCTCCAGCCAAAAGAAACCTTCACTGCTCGTAGCGTGATATCTGAGAAACGGTGAGCAATCTCCCGATGATGTTTCTGAAGTGTTTCTGTAAGTCGAGACATAAGTAATCGCTATTTTCTTCAAAAACAAAAGTCACAGAGGAACTTCACTTTCCTCGGCGTGAAATAATAGACCGTGACTGTAACTTCGCACATGTGCTGCTTTAAAATCTATTTGCTTAATACAGAAAGCTAAGCGAGCGTAAAATGGGCCTTAAGTGTCTCAACATGTGTTCATGTTTCAAGCATTAACAATAAAAGCCAAAGGATCCAGCCTGAATAGTTCAGAAATTGGTCATTTTGTAGAATTGCCATTTGTTTTGAGCAGGTTTCTTTAGTAATATTTATTAGAGGTAGGAATATTCTCTTCCACCAGCTTCAAATCTTTATTTATTATATTTTATTTATTGCATTTTATTATGTAGTGTTTATTGCATTTATTGATATTCACTATTTTAGTTAGATATATATGATATGATATGTGACCCCGGAGCACAAAAGCAGTGTTAAGTCGCTGGGGTATATTTGTAGCAATAGCCAAAAAATACATTGTATGGATCAAAATTATCGATTTTTCTTATATGCCAAAAATCATTGGGATATTAAGTAAAGATCATGTTCCATAACGATATTTTGTAAATGTCCTACTGTAAATATATTAAAACGTAATGTTTGATTAGTAATATGCATTGCTAAGAACTTAATTTGGACAAATTTAAAGGCAATTTTCTCAATATTTAGATTTTTTTGCACCCTCAGATTCCAGATTTTCAAATAGTTGTATCTCAGCCAAATATTGTCCTATCCTAACAAACCGTACATCAATGGAAAGCTTATTTATTCAGCTTTCAGATGATGTATTTTCAAATCTCAATTTCAAAAAATTTACCCTTATGACTGGTTTTGTGGTCTGTGGTCACATATGATATGATATAAGATATGATATGATATTGTATTATATTATATTATTTTTTTGTCTAGAAATTAGTAATTTTGTCTCGTTTTACATCACAAATATCTAAATAAATCTTAAACCAAGATACATTTACTTCAGAAGTATAATAACATAAGATGTTAAGCTTTGCTTTCTGAAAAATTAAGTGGGAATTAAATTAGGCTTTTTCTTACATTCAGAATATACATCTGTCAGTGGGACAAGAAAAATAATCTTGTTTTAAATTTGGATTAAGATTATGTTTCTTACCCCTTTATATGTTTTCTTGTTTTAAGCTAACAAAATAACAAAAACAAGACTTCATATCTTATTAATATTAATAATTTTTCTTCATTATTCATCATATTTAGTTTCTCAAGTAAACGTGTCTTGATTCAAGGATGTTTAGATAGCTGCATATTATAGTGTATTATATTTTATTATATTATCAGATTAGCTTTTAAAAATGACTAAAAAAATATATGCACTAGCATTTTTTTGATCTTTTGTTCACCAAGACTGCATTTATTTGATCAAAAACAAATAAAAACGGTATACAGTAAAAACGGTAATATTGTGAAATATTATTACAATTTAATGCACACAATGTTTTATATATTTTAAGGTGTAATTTATTGCTGTGATGCAAAGCTGCATTTTCAGCATCATTACTCCAGTCTTCAGTGCCAGAAATATAATGATTTACAGATGCTACAGATTTACATTCTAATATGCTGATTTGCTGCTCAAGAAACATTTCTTATGATTATCATTAATGTTGAAAACAGTTTTGCTACTTAATATTTTTTGTGATGTATTTTTGTTCACACTGAAAATTTTTTTCCATTACAAATATTTATAACTTCTAAATCAAGATACATTTGCTTGATAATTAATAACTTTTTGATTCATTTTCAGACTTACTATTTAAGTTAATTTGCTTCTCAAGTACGCTTACAAGGTTCCACTTCAGTTAGTAGGAGGGAAAGGATCTTGACTTTGAAGTAAGCATTATATGTTCGTGTCCCGCAGGCAGAGACATGGATCCGAGTGAAGCTGCGAGACCTGAGGGACGCCAGTAACGTCCATAGATGTCCTCTGACCGACTGGGAGGAACTTTGTCAAACCCTCCAGAGAGATTTGAGGGACTTTGAGAACACCGTCATACAACTCAACCAGGTTAGCACAAACCGTCTTCATCAGGAGAGTAAAAGATTGATGAATCCTCGTCAGGTTTCAACAGGTCCCTCGGCCAAAATCAACAAAAGAAGTTCACCCTTTTGCATATAAACGGCAAAACATTTACAAATTGTTATGGTAACAATCATAACTTCTTTTTAATGTAGATTTGTCAAAACGATTTTAACAGCTCAGCTTTGAGGAGACCTGCAGAGCCTCGGAAAGCTTTTTGTGAGACGTCCAAAATCACACAAAATATCAAGTCACCCCATGTTTTTTTCCCAGCACAGATGCTAAATTGGTCCTTTTCCCTTCATGTTGAAATAGTACATTGCAAATAATTAACCTCTCCAATTTTATGACTTTTATTTTAGCATTTATGTTTTGAAACATACTTTATTTATTAAATGTGTGGTTTGCAACACAACATGAAATATTTAAATATATTGAAATATTTGTTTTCTTGTGTGATTTTGGTCATATTATACTTTCTTTCTGTTTTTGCTTCCCTCATTAATCTTCGGCCTGCTTTGCATCTGCGTCCAAGAAGCCGAGGTGTTACTTTTCGAGTCTGTTTTACGTCTCACCATGGTAGCCAGGATTATTTAGAACAACAGTAGCTGTATTCAAAGAAAACTATCGCTGGGCTACAACAATTCAGGGCTGTAAAGCTTTTATACGTGTCAGCAGGAGCAGGAACAATCGCTGGCCAACATCCTTGGGGAAAACACTGACAAGATGCAGCTTACCAGGAAGATACTGGATTTGAAACAGGTGGGTGATTCTAGACAACAGACACTGAAATTGCTTCTAAATTCTCAGCAGGCCTCAATTATCACTACTGGAAAACAATTGGATTTTTTTTAGAGAATCTGTTTTATCGTCCAGTTTAGTACCATTGTTTACTTGTCCTGTATGTGAGCAAGTGCTTCTGATTTAAAATGCAGTCTGAGAGGCCGAGACCTTCCGCTTACGCACATACAGGCCATCATTCATTGTACTTACTCACAGATGTCACTGATTCACTAGCATCCCTAAAGCCAACTGAAACAGCCAGTTGTACTTCCAGGGTTGGGGAAATTAGCCAAAAATGCGGTCCAAGCACCTGGTTAAAATGTGCTTTGGTTAAATGTAAGATCATTAGAGCTCAGGAAATCTTGAATGTCTGACTTTCATCTTTCAGGATGAGCAGCTATATCATAATCTTCATGAGGAGATCAATCATATGACCCTCAGACTGGAAAAACAGGGGAAGACTGAAGGAAAGACCATCTCAACCCGCAGGAAACACATCAACAAAATGTTAGTGCACGTACTGATAATAATAATAATACACAAAAAAAGTCTTATTTATATATTTTTTGTTTGTTTGAGTATATATAAATTATATATATTTACTATAAAATGTAATAAATTATACACAAATATGTGTATACACAATTATCATTTATTACTATAAAATATAATGTATATGCAGATACATGTGCATATAAATTATTATATATTTTATAATTATATATTATAATAATTCTAATGATTGTAAAATATATTATACTGACTATAATTTAAACAAACATAATATATAAATATATTGTGTAAAAAATATATACATAAATGCACAATTATAATTTACTATAATTATTCATATAATAATAATAATAATAATAACAATAATAATAATAATTATTAGCAATTTAATAATCATTTGAATAATTATTTGAATATTTATATGTATTTATTAAATAGTAATTTATGTAATATGTATACACACAGACATATAATTATAATTTTTTATTATATAAATAAATATTAAATAAAAGCATAAATATTCAAATAATATTCAAAGCTAATAATAGCTATTTTTATTATCATTATCATTACTGTATGAATAATTATATGAATACATAAGAAATAATAATAATTATGCAAATTACTTTAATTCGATAATTACATGATTATTATTTTTTTATTTTTTTATTAATTAAAATAAAATGTATTATTTGTCAACTACCTAGGTGGCTGAAGGCTCAGTCGCACTTAAAGGAATATCACGAGAATCTTCAGCTTGCCCTCGAAGTCTCGTCCTTCTACCAGCAGGCCGATAACATTGTCTGTTCCATCAGCAACATGGTAATCATTTTCCTTCGTTGAGCTATTTCTGTTTAAAACCCCACAGGAAACCCAGTATCTGTGCCATTTCGTTTCGACGTGTCCTTTGATACGATTATAAGCCAACTGTGTCTGTATGTTGACATGAATGTTATTTACGGTTTGCTCTCCTTTTTTAACTTCTCTTCCAGAGAAAAGGCCTCTCAGCAAGCAACGGAGTGGAAAACGCCAGAGACGGGGAAATTCGGGACATTGCCAGTCAAATCATGGTGCGCGATCCAAAATTCACATCCCATTATAGTCACACGAGGAGCCGTGCTGTGAAACACGCTGACCCTAAACGCGTTAGTTCACGGTCCAGCTCCATAAAGACTGGATTTTTTTTCCCGATCAGGTAGGGTATAAGTGATTTCAAAACATTTCTTCCAGTTCTAATTTGATTTTTGGATGCTGTGAACATAGGCGCCGATCCCATGGGTGCTCGGGATTGTAAAAACTCAAGATATTATTTATTCTCTATTATTTTGGTGAAACTGATCTGGCAATTTCTCCAATGCATACTTGTGATTTGTATAAAACTTTTATTTTTCGCCCACATACACGCTGCAAAGTTTCGGGAATGACATCCTCATATTTATGCATATATAGTATATCGCACTCGAAAGAACAATGAACGGGACAAAAATATAAGTGAAAATGTATGTGAATTGAGGCTAGAGCACACTTTCTAAAGCACCCTCGGTATTTAATATAGGAACTGGGCCTGGATAAAACTAGCTGTGTTTGAGCAGTTTTCATGGCAGCTCATATTTAGGTGATCACATGGAGGTTTATGTGGCAGTAGGCTTCAAAAGTATATATATTTTTTTTTAATTAGCAGGATATTTGTTAATTTCCTACGTGAAAATCTCTATACAGTTAGAGTAAACATCCACAGGTTTCTTCGAATACTTCTTGCATCTGTTGATTTCATCTTGTGTGGATATTTGGTTTTATTTTTTTTGCAAATCAAAAAGAAAAGTAATAAACAACATGATATGCGGCCGGCTGATGTTAACTATATTTTAATCACAACATAAATCATTATTTATTCCGTTTGTATCTGCAAGGCTTCCGTTACACATTTTGGTCATGTATTTTCCCCCCACCCCCAAACATATGATTCTATCCTTAGTCAGGGACACCCCTACCTCTCAGGGACAAGAGCCATTTCCCTCCTTAATTGGCTCTCCACAGAGCCGAAGGCACTTTCCACAATCCTGCTTTTGTTGCATTTGTAATAGAGCCCTGCACGGGCCTCAAATACAGGCCCTAGCCCGGCACTTGTCCGACAGCTTATCAGAATTACTGGCCCGAGCCTGTCTTTTTTCCCCCTTCTCCCAAAACAACTTATACTACTGTTTCAGCTATTAAAATAGATCAGTTTTTTGAACTGTTGTCTTAACCTGTATGACAATCTTTGAAAATAAAATTGTTCGATCAGGTAGGGTATAAGTGATTTCAAAACATTTCTTCCAGTTCTAATTTGATTTTTGGATGCTCTGAACATAGGCGCCGATCCCGTGGGTGCTCGGGATCGTAAAAACTCAAGATATTATTTATTCTCTATTATTTTGGTGAAACTGATCTGGCAATTTCTCCAATGCATACTTGTGATTTGTATAAAACTTTTATTTTTCGCCCACATACACGCTGCAAAGTTTCGGGAATGACATCCTCATATTTATGCGGGATTCGCACTCGAAAGAACAATGAACGGGACAAAAATATACGTGAAATGTATGTGAATTGAGGCCAGAGCACACTTTCTAAAGCACCCTCGGTATTTAATATAGGAACTGGGCCTGGATAAAACTAGCTGTGTTTGAGCAGTTTTCATGGCAGCTCATATTTAGGCGATCACATGGAGGTTTATGTGGCAGTAGGCTTCAAAAGTTTTTTTTTTTTTAATTAGCAGGATATTTGTTAATTTCCTACGTGAAAATCTCTATACAGTTAGAGTAAACATGCACAGGTTTCTTCGAATACTTCTTGCATCTGTTGATTTCATCTTGTGTGGATATTTGGTTTTATTTTGTGCAAATCCAAAAAAAAAGTAATAAACAACATGATATGCGGCCGGCTGATGTTAACTATATTTTAATCACAACATAAATCATTATTTATTCTGTTTGTATCTGCGAGGTGTCCGTTACACATTTTGGTAATGTATTTTCCCCCCACCCCCAAACATATGATTCTATCCTTAGTCAGGGACACCCCTACCTCTCAGGGACAAGAGCCATTTCCCTCCTTAATTGGCTCTCCACAGAGCCGAAGGCATTTTCCACAATCCTGCTTTTGTTGCATTTGTAATAGAGCCCTGCACGGGCCTCAAATACAGGCCCTAGCCCGGCCCTTGTCCGACAGCTTATCAGAATTCCCGGCCCGAGCCTGTCTTTTTTCCCCCTTCTCCCAAAACAACTTATACTACTGTTTCAGCTATTAAAATAGATCAGTTTTTTGAACTGTTGTCTTAACCTGTATGACAAACTTTGAAAAAAAAAATAGTTCAAAAAAAGAAAAAAAAATAGTTCAGTTTTGTATGTAATGGCAAAGTGATTATTTTGTTTCGTTTTTTTATTAAGTTAATTTAGAAAAACGTTTGGAGCATTTTTTGTTCGTTACAAACAAAGTTTTTGTTTTTTAAAGTAACGACCAAGTGGCCAGCGGCAGACAGTGAGCCTATGTTTGATCAATTTAGCCTTCTCAAATCATCACGACTTGCCTAAAATAAAATCTATAGATATAAAATATTCCAAGCATATAAAAATGTTTAAACGTTAAACCTAGATAAATGTGCGCTATATCCAGTAGCTTGTGTGGAGAGTGCATGACAATCTTTGAAAATAAAATTGTTCAAAAAAAGAAAAAAATTTGTTCAGTTTTGTATGTAATGGCAAAGTGATTATTTCGTTTCGTTTTTTATTAAGTTAATTTAGAAAAACGTTTGGAGCATTTTTTGTTCATTACAAACAAAGTTTTTGTTTTTTAAAGTAACGACCAAGTGGCCAGCGGCAGACAGTGAGCCTATGTTTGATCAATTTAGCCTTCTCAAATCATCACGACTTGCCTAAAATAAAATCTATAGATATAAAATATTCCAAGCATATAAAAATGTTTAAACGTTAAACCTAGATAAATGTGCGCTATATCCAGTAGCTTGTGTGGAGAGTGCAAACTAAAGTGCGCTTTGCAGGACATGGAGGCGCCAGCGCGATCACTTGCATTTTTTTCAGTGAATACGCTGTAATTTTTGCTCATAATGGTAAGAGTCGGAACTTTAAAGGGCCTACTTTTATTTGTGTGCACTCACAATATCAACAAAATGGAGAGTGCAAACTAAAGCGCGCTTTGCAGGACATGGAGGCGCCAGCGCGATCACTTGCATTTTTTTCAGTGAATACGCTGTAATTTTTGCTCATAATGGTAAGAGTCGGAACTTTAAAGGGCCTACTTTTATTTGTGTGCACTCACAATATCAACAAAACATTGTGCTTTTGTAAAATAAAGAAAACAAACATGATGTGTTTCTGCCGTCTCGGTCTTGAACAGGAGCACTTCACAAAAATGAACCGAAACTCAGCGAATACATGCCTCACAGACATGATAAATATATCTATAGAAAGCTTTAAATTACTTCTTAACGAAATAAATTGAATTTCATTATAATCATAATCCGTAAAGATGCACTTATCTATAAAGGCGCGTCTAATGAGGAGATGGCGAGTCAGGATCGACAACTTCATCCTTGCGACACCGACTCAGAAAACACTAGTTGATTAGTAAATTATTCAAATATCTCCTTACTATTTCCCCCTGACACATTCATGGTAATTCCTTTTGCCGGTGCTTTGCGGCAAGCTTTAGCCTATTGCTTGCATTTGAACGCAGAACTGTTCATGCACTTATCTATAAAGGCGCGTCTAATGAGGAGATGGCGAGTCAGGATCGACAACTTCATCCTTGCGACACCGACTCAGAAAACACTAGTTGATTAGTAAATTATTCAAATATCTCCTTACTATTTCCCCCTGACACATTCATGGTAATTCCTTTTGCCGGTGCTTTGCGGCAAGCTTTAGCCTATTGCTTGCATTTGAACGCAGAACTGTTCAGCTGCGCTGATGGCACGCATGCTGCTGCTGGACACTAAACACCATCGAGCCGCTCTTGACAGTCGCGGCGGCACGGTCTCGTGTTGTTTCCACCAGCGTGGCAAAAAATATTTTTTCATCACTAGTTGATGGATGTCTAAAATATAAAAATAAGGAGAAGCCTAAAACAGGCCAGAGGCCCTGCCCGCGTCTGAACTATGACGTGAAAATTGGCCCAAAGCCCGGCCCTAGGGGCATAAAAAAGTCGGGGCCTGTCGGGCCCGGGCTGAAATGCAGGGCTCTATCCCCACCACCAACCGCATGAGACACAGCCAGGAAACTGCTTCCAAATGATAATTAGATGCATATAAAAGATGTGTGCTTATTTTCATAATGCCACCAATTACCAATCTGAATTCTTCCTCCTGATGTTTTGAAACGCTAAACATCAAAACAAACCGTTTGATATGAAATTTAGCTGGAAACGACACTTAAACTTGTTTGTTTGTTTCTTGCAGTTTGGCCATTTTATTGCTCCGTCAGGCATCTATATTGATTTAATTGTCTTTTGAGGTTTAAAAGTCTGCGATTCCTGTTCCTGCACCCAGTTAGTCATACAGGGTCCTTAAAAAGACTTAAAACGTCATAAATTCAGTTGTATAAAATTTAAGGCCATAAGTCTTAAATGGTACAAGAAAAGTCTTAATTATAATTTCAAGAAGTCTTGAATTTGAGGACAGAAAGACAAGAATCGCGATATGGCTTAATCTGATGATTAAACTTCAAAAGGCTATGATTTCATTTAATAAATATAAGCTGCATGTTTCAAAGTCAAAACGGGGTGCGGTTGTTTTATATGAACGTATCTCTTAAGGGAACTGACTGTTTTCAGACATGTTTGGATGGCATTTTCAATTCATCTTACCTGTAATTCCTGATAAAGTAGCATTTATGACAGGGTTGCCAGGTCTGCAAAACCAAACCAGCCCAAATGTTCAGCAAAACTAGCCCAATAATCCCTTCACCCTTCAGGAAACCGCTATATTTCTGCCTCTCCAAAAGCGCCACCTGCTGGCAGAGAATGAATTTGCATTTTCAAGAAACCAGTTTGCTTAAAAAATAATTGATGCTTTTGACTCATCCCTTTTCTTAAAAAAATGGTTTAAAGCCTGAAATATGAAGTTTATCATTTTATAAAACTTTGTTTTAAACTTTATGTAGTAATAAATTATTATTTTTATAATAATGTTTATAATAATTTAATTATTATTTAAATAATTATTAAAAAAATGTATATATCATTATTCAAATAATTATTAATGAGTTAATAAGAATAGAAAATATATATTATTATATTTATATGAATAATTTAAAATAAAATTAGTTTTTATACAATATAATTATTACACTATATATGTATTATATTTTATAGTAAGAAATTGTAATTATTGTAAGTATTATATAAATGATTAAATACATCTATAAATATTCAGGTATTATACACACCAATAAACAATCTGAATTTTTTCTCCTGATCAGCATGACATATTAAAACACTAAACGCCAAAACAAGCCATTTAATGACATTTAGTTGGAAATGGTGCTTAAACTCTCATTTGTTTGTTTGTTTGTTGCAATGTGGTAACCAGATCCAAATGTGAGCTTATTTTGTGCTTTATTGCACCATCATCTAAGGCGTCCGCATTGATTTCATCATCATTTGAGATTTAAAAGTCTGCGATTCCTGTTCCTGAGCCCAGTTAGTCATAATAAATAGTGTGCGTACTGCAGAAAGCTTGCCATCTCCTCCTTATGCCTTCGGTTGAGGATGAAGTATGTTTATGTTTATAATTAGAGGAATTTATTCCTTATATTAAATGCATAACAGTTTATTTGGGCAAAGCAGATGTTTAATCGAGATGAATTCATGGCAAAAGTTACTAATGGTAAAATAATACACAAGCAGCTCGTTCTGTTCTGTGAATGCAGTAAAAGTTCACAGCCGAGTGGGACGTTTCTGGAGGAAATTAATAAAGAGTTTCTCTATATAGAAGTCATAATATAAAAACAGATTCTGTTAATATGTGGATTTTTAAAGCCGTTTTTAAAAGTCCCGAATGTCATTCTGTATTCTATGTTGTGTAGGTCTTGAATTTGGAGCAGATAAAGTTAATCTGTCAAACGCTGGTTCTGGTTTTCTTTAACACCTGTGCATTTATGTATGACTGGATTTATGAACAGGATAAAGTCCGGCCGGATACTGTATGGTGTTGTTGTTAACATCCACTTGCTCTTAGTCTGCACTATTAATCATTGTCAGATCAGTTGTTACTGTTACTTTTAGAAAAGAGATGAACTTCTCATGCATCAGTTGCTGTAATCTAGCAGGGCAAAATGTTCCCTAAGAGTGATTTATTTATTTAATTTTATTTAAAGTAAGACACAAGTCTCATTGCATGCATTCCGGAATGTAAAAATCTAAGCCTGAGCCTGGATTTGATTATTTAGATTGCATGTTCGGTGCATTGCATATTCATTTATTTATGTTTTCAGAAATATTTTTAATGTATAATAAATGCTTTTCCTTGTTCTTTATTGCTTATTAGTAGCATATTAGCATCATGGTGGCAAGCTTTGCAAAGCCAAACACCATTTACATTTTCTTAAGGCAATGTAGACTTAAACTAGTGTGCATAGAATAGAATAGAATATAAATTTAATTTATGTAATTTTATATTTATTAATATAAATTTTAATTTATCAAAATTTAACAATATTGAATAAATTATAATTGTTAATATAATATATAGTTATGATATAAAATTATATTATAAAATTATAAAAGTGTATTTATTATGTATATTATACATTATATATAATAATAATATATAATTAAAATGTAATTAATATAACTATTTATTTATAATTATATATTTTATTAATAATGTAAACTAGAGTGTGTATAATAAATAATATAATTAAAATTGTATTATATAACATTTTTATTTATAGATATGTTATTATTATTATATTTTATATATAATAATGCTTCTCTTTATTCCTTGTTAGAGGTGTTTTCATTTCTTCTCATTTCTTTATGCTTTGTTATCATTTCTTTACACTTTACATCATTTCTTAAGGAAATGTAAATGTATTAAAACTAGTGTGTGTATATGATATAATATAATATCATACAATTTGTGTATATATGTATGTATGCTTGTGTGTTATCCTCCAAGAGTTTAGCATGCTTTAAATCTGAGGAATCTGGTTATTCCCATGTGCATATTTATTTTAAGACATCATGTAGTGTGTTTAGTGGCTTAGTTTTGAAAACATTTTGGAAGTTGCAAATACCAGCTGTGTAATCTGCTATCATCGGCCGCTTACAGTCACTGTATTAAACCTCCGTAGAGTGACAACAGATTAGAGGCAGTGCTGACGCTTCTGTGTTCTTGGCTTGGTCTTGGGGTCCTGCTGGCAGCTTGATTTGATGGCTGAGTGTTTGTGTTTGTAGGAACGAAAAGGCAGCTCAGCTCCCCTCCACCTCCTCGTTAACCAGGGACAGCAGTGACCCTGAAACCCCGAGCCAAGAGTCGCCCGGCAGCGTGGGAACAGACCCACACAGGATTATGGGAAAGGAGGTTAAAGAGGAACAAAATCGTCTGAAGGGGTTTACGGTATGCAGCTTTCATTCTATTATAATTCTACAAGTATATTCTCCTTCTCTCTCTCATACCATTTGTTTTTCTTTTCGTCGTCCTTTTTGGTTTTCATGCTGAACGGAAATGTTTAAATGACACCAGAGGCCTTTTCACACGTTTCCCAAAGTATTCAATTCTGTGAATTGATGCATCAAGCTGATGTCATGCAAGGTTATTAATTTCACTAGGATGTAAAAAAGGTGTCTGCTTCGTTGTTTTACGGCAGTTGTTTACTTTACACCGTGTTTAAGCCAAAAAAGTGAGGGATGAAATTTCTCATAATAGGGGTAATAATGGTTTCTAAGCCACGTATTATACACACTTAAATAATCTGTGCAAATTAATAAATAGTAAAATTGCACTTTTCGTGTGGAAGTCAAAGCCATTGTTGCTGATTGTTTTGAGAGGTGTTTTTAGCAGTGGTATTTTAGCATTAATTATACACTGTTATAGTATTTATTAATATTTTGAACTAGCTTTTTAATTTCATATTTTATATTATATATTCACATTTTAATTTATTTGAGTTTTTAGTCATTTTATGGTTTTGACATTTTTATTGAATTTAGTGATTTTATATTTTGTAATATATATTATTATATATTTTATGTACTTTAAATAAACGAAATAAATAAATATTTGAAATAATTTATTTATAATTATATGATTACTGTATATTTTTAATATATAATAATGTTTTTTATTATTTATTCCTTATTAGTGGTTATTAGCATTATGTTGGTAACTGAGAAGTGTTTTAGCAGGGTTATTTCCGTACTGTTTATATACTACTAAAGTATTTATTATAATATCTTAAATTAGCTATTTTTTATATTTTCAGTTGTTCTAAGTTTCTCTAATATTTGCATTTTATGTTATTTCAGCATTACTTCAAACAACAAAAACAGTTTTTAATAGTTTTATTTTTAGTTAACAATAACAGCACTTGTTTTGTCGTCTTGACGTAAGTCAAGTAAGAATAGGGCCGGGCGATATAGCTAAAAAATGTATCAACGATATAATGTTTCATATCGTTCGTTATCGATAATTATTGAAATTTTTTATAACCTTTTTTAAAACAAAAAGCAAAATAATATATATTTTTTATTTAACCGCTATTTATAATTAACACAATTTATTGAGACAAACAACAAATATTTTTAGTTTTAACAATCAAACACAATAAAAATTTTACAAATATCTAATTTCTAATGTTTTATATGCAGATTAAATAGGTCTTTATTGTATAGGTCTAATTGTCTTCCGAGGCCACAGGAGGGCGCATTGAGCAAAATAATGCAGCACATTTAAATGGTCAACGCAAGTAACTCTATAAAAACGTGCATTACGTCTAAATTAACTCATAAAATATAATTTCGTAAATTGCATGAACAATTATGAACAAAACAGCATCTTGTATTTATGCATTGCTTAATCCAAAGAGCCGAAGCACCCATCACACAGACTGCATTTAAAAACATATGAGACGCAGTGAAAAGGAATAAACCTCCACAAATTCGCGACGTGTTTTCTAAAAGTTTAAACTGTTTTAACTTTGCATGGCTTATGGGAAAGGAGGTTAAAGAGGAACAAAATCGTCTGAAGGGGTTTACGGTATGCAGCTTTCATTCTATTATAATTCTACAAGTATATTCTCCTTCTCTCTCTCATACCATTTGTTTTTCTTTTCGTCGTCCTTTTTGGTTTTCATGCTGAACGGAAATGTTTAAATGACACCAGAGGCCTTTTCACACGTTTCCCAAAGTATTCAATTCTGTGAATTGATGCATCAAGCTGATGTCATGCAAGGTTATTAATTTCACTAGGATGTAAAAAAGGTGTCTGCTTCGTTGTTTTACGGCAGTTGTTTACTTTACACCGTGTTTAAGCCAAAAAAGTGAGGGATGAAATTTCTCATAATAGGGGTAATAATGGTTTCTAAGCCACGTATTATACACACTTAAATAATCTGTGCAAATTAATAAATAGTAAAATTGCACTTTTCGTGTGGAAGTCAAAGCCATTGTTGCTGATTGTTTTGAGAGGTGTTTTTAGCAGTGGTATTTTAGCATTAATTATACACTGTTATAGTATGTATTAATATTTTGAACTAGCTTTTTAATTTCATATTTTATATTATATATTCACATTTTAATTTATTTGAGTTTTTAGTCATTTTATGGTTTTGACATTTTTATTGAATTTAGTGATTTTATATTTTGTAATATATATTATTATATATTTTATGTACTTTAAATAAACGAAATAAATAAATATTTGAAATAATTTATTTATAATTATATGATTACTGTATATTTTTAATATATAATAATGTTTTTTATTATTTATTCCTTATTAGTGGTTATTAGCATTATGTTGGTAACTGAGAAGTGTTTTAGCAGGGTTATTTCCGTACTGTTTATATACTACTAAAGTATTTATTATAATATCTTAAATTAGCTATTTTTTATATTTTCAGTTGTTCTAAGTTTCTCTAATATTTGCATTTTATGTTATTTCAGCATTACTTCAAACAACAAAAACAGTTTTTAATAGTTTTATTTTTAGTTAACAATAACAGCACTTGTTTTGTCGTCTTGACGGAAGTCAAGTAAGAATAGGGCCGGGCGATATAGCTAAAAAATGTATCAACGATATAATGTTTCATATCGTTCGTTATCGATAATTATTGAAATTTTTTATAACCTTTTTTAAAACAAAAAGCAAAATATATATTTTTTTAAATTTAACCGCTATTTATAATTAACACAATTTATTGAGACAAACAACAAATATTTTTAGTTTTAACAATCAAACACAATAAAAATTTAACAAATATCTAATTTCTAATGTTTTATATGCAGATTAAATAGGTCTTTATTGTATAGGTCTAATTGTCTTCCGAGGCCACAGGAGGGCGCATTGAGCAAAATAATGCAGCACATTTAAATGGTCAACGCAAGTAACTCTATAAAAACGTGCATTACGTCTAAATTAACTCATAAAATATAATTTCGTAAATTGCATGAACAATTATGAACAAAACAGCATCTTGTATTTATGCATTGCTTAATCCAAAGAGCCGAAGAACCCATCACACAGATTGCATTTAAAACCAAAGTGACAGTAAAGACATTTATAATGTTATAAAAGATTTCCATTTCAAATAAATGCTGTTCTTTTGAACTTTCTGTTCATCAAATCATCATGAAAAACGAAACGTTTCATAGTTTCAAAAAAAAAAAGTAAGCCGCACACGACTAATAGAAATTGTTAATATTAAATATTAATTATTATTGATTATATACATTTTTATAATATTTGTCAGTATATGTTATAAATATAAATTATAATATTGTTAATTTAAGTAAATTACATATATATATTAATATAAACAATTTAAAGAAATTAAATATTTTAAAAACAATAATGCAAACTAAATAAAAATTGTATTAATATTATTATAAATCTGATTTCTAATTAATATTAAAGTATCATTCTGAAACAAGTATCACAGTTTCCACAAAAATATGATGTAGCTAGTGCTGGGCAACGGTTAATCGTGATTAATCGCATCCAAAATAAATGTTTTTGTGAACATAATATATGTGTGTGTACTGTGATTATTTATTATGTATATATACACACACATACAGTATATTTTTAGAAAATATTTACATGTATTTACATGTATATATTTATATTCATATCATTTATTTTATATATAAATATATTTAATATATAAACATAACATATTTTTCTTAAATATATAAATGCATGTGTTTGTATTTATATATACAAAATAAATATACACGATACACACACATATATTATGTACACAAAAACTTTTTATTTTGGATGCGATTAATCATTGCCCAGCACTAGAAGTGACACAAATGTTTTCAACATCAAAATAATAATAATAAATAATAATAAATGTTTCTTGAGCAGCAAATCAGCATATTAGAATGATTTCTGAAGATCATGTGACACTGAAGACTGGAGGAATGATGCTGAAAATACAGTGCTGCATTTCATATCATTTATTTTATATATAAATATATTTAATATATAAACATAACATATTTTTCTTAAATATATAAATGCATGTGTTTGTATTTATATATACAAAATAAATATACACGATACACACACATATATTATGTACACAAAAACTTTTTATTTTGGATGCGATTAATCATTGCCCAGCACTAGAAGTGACACAAATGTTTTCAACATCATAATAATAATAAATAAATAATAATAAATGTTTCTTGAGCAGCAAATCAGCATATTAGAATGATTTCTGAAGATCATGTGACACTGAAGACTGGAGGAATGATGCTGAAAATACAGTGCTGCACATCACAGAAATACATTACATTTTATAATATATTGACATAGAAAACAGTTATTTTAAATTGTAATAATATTTCACAATTTGACTGTTTTTGCTGTATTTTTATTAAAATACATGCACCCTCGGTGAGTATAAAAAGTATTTTTGGTTGTATTTCTGGACCCGCAGTATTTCATACATAAACTGTTGCTGCCAAAAGTCAAGAGTAATTTCCAGTAAAACATGGACTGTCTCGTCCATTTTTCTTTTTTTTTGGACTAGTTTTAATTGTTAGATCCCAACATAAGCTTTTGTTCAGACGGTTTTCTGGCTTGGTTTTGATTGGCACAGTGCTGGCGATGTTCTGGGCTAAAGCAGGTTTGTAACAATGGCCGCTTGTGTCAGTGCTGGTAGCAGAGGTTACCTGGGTGTATCGTGTATGAGAGCCGTGCTCATTATGCTTTATGGAGACTTTTACTGGGAGACACGAATCCCCAGGACTAACATGATGCCAGACGGCACCACCGGTCCAAAAGCTCGCCATCATCCAACTCCAGTTCTCCTCAGACTGTTGTTTCGCCATGACTGCAGTTGATTGAAGGAGAAAATGAGACCGTTTCTGCAAATACTCACTATA